ACCTACTATCTTGTCAATGATTTCTTTTATATATGGAAGCATGTAATAATCTTTTATTGTATCAGCATCTAATCAAGAAAAATCCATGCAAATTTTTAGAGCTTTGGATTTTTTTCGATAAATTTCCATGAATAACTACCACATGAAAAAATCCATGAACAAAGTAAATTTAGCTTGTAGGAGTTTATTCAGCTCATGCTTTATAGTTTGCAAGTAATTGAAATCCATTTGATATTGCATCTATTGAATTGAGGTAGTATTCAAAACAAGATCAATCCAATGTTTGATTATCTCTATGGATATTTTTCTTAAATATTTGTGTGACTAAGCAAATATGTCACGTTAATCAACCATTACTCAAACACTCCTTCTTCAAGCAAATTTACCTAGATCTATGTAGAATCGGCCAATTTTGCATGCTGCAATATTAATATGTTGTTGTGTGATAAGACAACTATATAGTAAAAAATATAAATATAAATGTTATTATAGAAGAGCCAGCAAAAAGATATAATGAAAAAGTATTAAAAAAATTAATCTTAATACTACTTTTTTATAGAAGAAACTTCTATTTACTTTGTAGAGGCATAAATGAGCCAAATCAAAGTAAATGACATAAAAAATAATATAGACATGTGTATAAATGAATTAAAAATAATTTGTAGTAAAATTTACTTCAAGAAGCCAAGAATTGATACCCAAAGACAACCAATTGTGAACTTCTATTGAAATCAGACCCCAATGCACAAAACCACGTATCTACAATAACTTTGGAATCTTTTGGTAGATAAAAAAATAAGACTTGAAAGCCAACTTGAAAATAGATTTTTGGACATTGATTTTATTTCAATTAAATCAATATTAAGTTTTTGAGGAATTTTCAAAATTAGTAGAGTTCTTAGTTGGTTTAGATTTTGAGAAATAAAAATATGTTTACAAATTTGAGGATTTCTTAAGTTCAACAATGTATATTTAGGTGAATTTTAGGTAGTGCGTTGCTGTATTAGTTGTTAATGTATGTGAAAATTTTGAAATCAATCAAATAATCAGATTAAAGTATATGAAGGTTTTTGTGGATTGATGTCTTAGAAATTAAAGTTTGAGGATTAGTGAGTATTTTTAAGTTCTTCAACAATTTGTCAAATGGATTGAAGTGAAATTCTTTTGTGTAGATATTAGACTTGATTTTTAACATTTGAGATAAAAATTAGAAGCAATTCAATAGTTCAAGAAGGAGATATTGGTATTGAAAGTTTAGCATTCAAGTTAGAGTAGGAGGCTACTTAACACCCAATTGAATTCTCTTGTATTTCTTTCAATTGATAAGTGCAATTGATTTCAACTTTCTTGTGCTTATTTTTAACTAAGACATCAAAAAGTGTGCAAATTTTGAATTGATAACAATGATTTAATCATTAGTTGTTGAGGTTCTATTTTGCTATAAGGTTATTAAAAATTTGTTTGAGATCTTAGATTTGATTAGAATATGGTTTAGGATTTGGTCTAGTGTTTGGTTAGGTTTGCTTGAGATTTGGTTTAGAGCTTGATTAAAACATATAAATCTCAAAAATCTCACTAATAAAGTTTTTTTTTTTTTTTTTTTTTTTTTGCTTCTTATATTTGATTACAAATTATTTTTATTAGTCTTATAATCTTTTGCATGTGTGCATGTGTGTTTATATATATATCAAGAGTGATACAAGATGCAATCTTCCAATATATATGTCAATATGAAACACATTAAAGTATTACATAACATATTCAGATTGAAAATTTTGGATGTGGAAAAAATGAAAAAATTAGAATGCAGAAACAAGTCCCATTTTTCTGCTTAAAACTTATAATAACTTGAAATTGCCAAAACAATTAGTCAACTTTTTTTCTTCAGATTATTTTGTTCAATAATATCATTTCTGAATTAAAATATATATTTTAATGTAAGAAAAAATTCAATTTGCATTATCCCAAATATTTCAAGTATGATTAAGGTAAATTGATTGTTCATACATTAAAGCTAAAAATACAGTTTTGAAATGTGATTATTCAGGTATTATTTGATGAAAGGTCTTACTTGATGCCAAAAAAGTTAAGTTACTATCACACAGCAAAAGCAGCATATTGAAATAAAAACATGGACTTGTGGGGTAGTAGTCTGCATTAAAGTGCAAAAAATTTACATATTTGTTGAATCACTGAAACTTTGGCTTCTACTTTTCATTTATACACACATGTCATTGTATCACACAGATTTGTCAATTACTTTTTTCGGTTAACATGCAGTACGATGTTTAAATACACTATTGCCCTTTTGTGGGTACTTATACTAACCATTGAATGCATGTAATGAAGACATTTTATTTTTCGAATTAGTAATTAGTGTCATTTAAAGTAATAATAAGTAGTTAAAATCTTCTTAAAATATTAAAAAACACCTTAAAACTTGCTTCTGGTCCTAAAGAATAATGTAAGATGAACACTTCTATTACATTATAACTAGGAGTTAAAATAAAATGGTTGCAAAAGTATTTAATGCTACATAATAATCAGGTTTTATTGCATATGGTTCTATATATGGATATACTTACAAGATGATGATGCTAATTTGAAAGTATTCGACCTTAAACTAATCATATCAAGGTCAAAAAGAAAAGAAAAAGGATTGATTTTTTAGATCATCAAAAGTAGATAATTAATTCCACATGTTACAACTAATTTATATTTAGTTTTTGAAGGTCAAATAATTCACATGTCTTTGATTTAATCTTACTAAAAAAATTATGGCCTTGGAAAATTAAAATCCAATAATGATGCTTGCAAATGTTCTAATTAATGAAAAGACTAAAACATATAAATCTCACAAGTTGTCTTTCTAAATGTTCTATCAATCTTAATGATCAAACTCAGCATCTTGTCAGTTACATTCCAAATTTTATACGAATTCAACTCACTAAAATAAACATTCATTTAATGTACACTCAGATATTATGAACGTATATTCTGTTGGATTGAAAACAAATATAGGTACGAACTCCAATCAAAAAATAAAATAGTGCAAAAAGAGAGAAAACATAATTTTACTTATTAATTTTGCCTGAAATGATTTGTGTATTGTCGAGTACAAACTGTTAAATACTCTAATAATATCTCACATTTCAAAATCAACCTGTCTTTACAAGAATAGCTGCATGTAGAACCAACGCTCTTCAAACAAAATGTAAGAAACTGGATGATCAATATAAAAGATAGAAGAAGAATACATTCCACCACTTTATGTGAAAGAAAAAATTGTAAAATAATACTGATAAAAAAAAGAAGCTATTTAGACCAATCGGTCAAATGGATTCATAGAGGCACTAGAATAATTTAAAAGAAGACGAAGATATGAAGATAAAAATAAAAAGATAAATAATGACAAAAAAAGTCTTCCAGAAAAAGACATTATTAGTGAATTGATCAACGAAGATATGAACGTTGGTTGGGTCTTTTGAAGGGCATTCGCACAAGTTCGATTGCTCCACGGCTAAGAGACCCAGCTGAGGCAAACTCATAAAGACCAGCATAGGAATATGCATTGACTCACTCTATAAATAGTAAAACTGTGCGGGCTTTAAACAAAGCATTAAGTGTGGACGAGGTGGGGCCTCCACGTACGCTCGCCTTTCACCGTGTGCTAGTTTCATTAAATCTCTGTGTCTATGACCGTTGCTGAGAATGAACACTTTGTTGTCAGCCAATTTTTCCATCCATAATTAATTCATTAATCCGATTCAGGGTCACACTTCTTAAATTCTTGCCAAGCGTGGATTGTGCCTACCCACCCACAGGATTACGTTTTCCTAGGCCATCAACAATTTCCAGTGTTGCCATGAAGTGTGAATATATCAGTGGCATTCTGCGCTATGTTGGACGTTTCATTGTAGCTAACAACATTCATGGTTTTCTGTGTATAATGGTAAAATCCCTGTTTTTTTCAGAATTCTTACAGTTGTAGAGTTAGACCTAGTTGTTCCAAAGTCCAAGTCATCGTCTGAGTTGTTAAAAATGCAATCTAAACTTGCTCAGCCATGGCCATTGAATGAAAACAGTCCCATGCATGAGACACATGGTAGCCTGTTAGCCCCTTGTGTAGAACTTGAATTGCTCCAAATCACCATAACATATAATTGTAATATATGTTGTTTGAGACAGCAAAGCTGGCTCGCACAACTTCATTATACATATAAAATAAAACTATGCAAGGGTTACAGGTGGTAACTGTTCTTCCTCACTACGTCCAATGTAAATCAAATTGCAGTCCTCAGCCAGTACAACCCAAAACACCCAGATTTCTTTCCCGTAGACCGCTGACTGAACAATAAGTTAAATTTATACTTCCCAGGATAGATACCAAGCTTGAATCCAAACACAACATTTCGTAAGAAGCCATCCCATAAAATGCAAGTGCTCTCAACATTTTAATAGCAGGTACTTTATCATAGACCCAATTTCTCAACCACATCCAAACCCCTAAGAAAATGCAGCCGACATTTGTTAACGAGATAATTAGTCAAGAATAATATCCCCGCACTCACTTGCTACCCATAAATAAATAAACGAATCCGGTTACACCACACTAACACGCAAACAGAAATAGGGGGAGTAATTAGTGCACCGAGCAAGGAAAACAAAACCGTCCTTAGAAAAGAAACAAATTTTCATCAAAACAGCAACCAATTCTGTGGCCCAAAGTGGCCCCACATAGCGACCATCTCCCCTGGAGCATCTGCCGTGGACGCGCGGCAGCGTCATCTAGTGATGGGTCTGCACCCCCCAAGGTGGTGAGCGAGGGCACGTGTGCAAGGCGAAACGGAGTGATGCTGATGTGAGTGGATTCCCGTACGCAAGTTTCGCTATGGACGACTTAGCTGGAGCGGAAGGAAAGGTGACGCCGGAGGAGTGGGATGGTTGTTCCCAGGGGGGGAGGGGGTATGTGAGTGGGTGCGAGGAGGGATGAAGGGAGTGACAGGAGGAGCTGGACGTGACTGATTTGCAGGCCCCACCAAGGCGTTTGATCGAAGTGGAGAGAGAGCGGGGTGACCTATTTTGGGAGTGCGTGAGCAGCATGGACGCGGGCGGAGGGTGGATGTCGGTGGGGCTCTGCGGACAGCGGCCGAGTGGGTGATTTGTTCGCTGTTGTGGAGACCTTACAGGGGTGCAAATGACAGAGACAGAGTTGGCGGACCATGGAGGGGAGGCGTAGCATAGGACAGTAGCGGGGAAGATGGTAGCGCTGGGAATGCGGTTGACATGGGCGAGAGGGAGGGGGTGATGTCGATGTCGGTGTGTGCCAGCGCAAGGGTGACCAGAGCGCAGGGTTGCGGTGTTACGAGTTGTGCGTGGAGGGATGCGAGTTGTGCGTGGAGAGATGCGAGTTGTGCGTGGAGAGATGCGAGTTGTGCGTGGAGGGATGCGAGTTGTGCTTGGAGAGGTGCGCGTGGATTGGATGTGGCGAGCATTGGCAAGTGAGGCTGGGCAATTGCAGTCCGTGATTGTGGTCATGTTGGTGCAACCGTGAGTACGTAGTCGGGCGTTTGCGGCGAAGCCTGGGAACAGCTAGTTGAACTGGCAGAGGATGTGGGGCTGCGACTGAAGGCTAATGCACCGAGAGCAGCGTTGGCGATGCCACAGGGTGCGAGTGGGAGGTTTTGTGGAACGTTGTGGTTGCGGTACACGGCCACATGGGTTTCAGGTTGCGAAAGAATCTGGTCAATTTGAATGCTTCTCGGGAGGACGATGCAGTTGCGCGGCTGGGCGGGGGTAGAGCGTCAGTAGCAGCGACGAGAGGAAATTAACCGACAGAGACAGAGCGAAAAGCCGCGGAGAAATTGGGAAAGAGGGGGTACAGTCCGAGAGTGGTTTGTGGTGCACCTGTGGCGCAGCATTCAGGGTACGTTGTCGAAACGGAGCGCCATTGGGCGCCCTGCACGGTGGCTGCAGTTCAGAAGCAGATGCGCGACAGAAGGCGGAATGAAAGTGGGCACATGCGGGCGAATGTGGGTGGGCTGTGATTCCAGCTAGCGGGCGTGGGACTGATGTAGCGAGCTGGAAGATACCAGCCTTGCCGTAGATGGCTGGTGCTCACGCACACACAGTTTCGGCGCCTTCTCTTGTCCGGTCCGGCAATGTGCTGCTGGGCAATCATGGTGGGAGCGGGCTGTCGCAGCCGATCCTATCATCGCTTGCAGCGAGGCGGTCTCAATTCGGAGGCGTGAATATGCTGGCAGGGTACCCGAGTAATGGGCTACTCAACGGGGTTTCGAATGCCGGGCTCACAGGTTGGTGGCGGAAGATTGGCTTGGCGGGGAACGCGTGTGTGTGGGTTTGGGTGCGGGATGGTGTGATTTTGGTGTGGTTGTTGTTGCGGTGCTGAAGGGTGGAGTGAAAGGGGGTGGAAGTAGCGTAGGTGCAGGTGCGCGGAGTTGGGATTGAGAGCGGATGGTGTGGTGGGCGTGTTGCAGGTATTGCTCAGAGCTTGGGCGGGAGCGTGGGTGTGAGCTCTTTGGTGACGGGGTCGAACTCGGAGTTGCTGGATCTGCAGAGAGGCAGCCTTGGGGCGTCGGAGGGGATGGCAGTGTCTGGGTTAGGCGGGATGGGGTTGCCTGCATCACCGGCGTCGATCACGTCGACGATCGGGAATTCGATGGCGAATCAGCAAGGGAGCTCGGGGCTGGCGCGAATGGAGCAGCAGGTAAGGTGGTGGCGAGGGAGAGTGGGGCGAGTTGGGGGGTGGTAGTATGCGGGGCGTGGATTGGATAGGGAGACGGGCACGCGGGCAGAGGCGAGAGCAATGGGGTGGTGTGTAAGGAGCAGGTGAGTCGGGGTTTGAAGTGTGGTGGATGGAGAGGGGCGATGGAGTGGGGAGTGGTGTGCGCATGGGGGGCGGTGTTGTGGAGGATGGTGATGGAAGATTGAGAATGGTGTGGTGGGCGGAAGCGGGAGGTGGGGATGGCGAGGTGGATGTAAGGATATGGATAGAGGGTGGGGTGTGGGGGATGGGATGGCGTTTGGGGGAATGGTGGGGGTGTGGGATGGTGGTGAGAGTGGGATTCTATTGCATTTAACAAGTGTGGTGTGACGGTGGTGGGCGTTGGGCGATGTGTGCAGGAATTGTTGGTGCATCAGCAGCAGGCGCGTTCAGGTACACCTCCGCTAGCAGCGACAACTGCGCTTTCGCAGCTGTCGCAGTCGATGCAGTCAATGCAGCAAGAGAGAGGAGTGCAAGGGTCTCAGCACGGAGGTGGCGGGCAGCAGAGCGGTGGGTTTCCGGGTCAAGTGGGTGGGAGTGGATCGCAGGTTGTGAGTGGTGGTGGCAGCCAGCAGTCGATGGTGTTAGGAGGTGGTGTGGGGCATGGGAGCAGCATGCAGGGGAAGGCGGGCGGGGTAGCGTCGCAGCAGGGGGTGTCTGGTGTGAAAGCGGATGCGCAGTACTCGGGTCATAGTTTGCAGAACCAGCAGGGGCAACAGCAATTGATGAGGCCAAAGCTGGAGGTGGAGACGGAAATGGAGCTGGATCAAAAGGTGAGGGGTGAGAATGGAAGCATTGGGGGGTCGTGTGCGATAGGATGGGAGGAGGTGGCGGGGAGTTGTGTGAGGTTGTAGGGTGCAGTCGGGGTTGTGGATAGGATGCGATGCGTGGTGTTAGAAGGGTGGCACGGGGATGTGGTGCGGAGGGATGGTGGAGACGGGGTGGGGGGTTGGAGATGGGTATGAGCGGTGCTGACGATGGGAAGTGGGGAGGAGTTGGGGCAGCAGGCAATGCAGCAATTGAGGTCCGGTAACAATGTGGGTGGCACGGCTGAGATGCAGCTGCAAGAAGCTCTGCAGAGGCAGCAGTCGAAACAGATACAGGCCCATCTGAGCGTATTGCAGCAGCAGCGAGTGCTGCAGGGGCTGTCGGAGCAGCACGTGCGCGACATGACGAGTATCCAACTGCAACAATTGCAGCAGCAACAAGTCCAGATGCAGCAGCAGCAAGCAAATCTGTGCAGTCATCAGGTGGGCGTGC